AGCCTGCTTGCAGAATGCTTGTTTGAATTTGTCAGATGGATACAGTCCCTGCTCAGTAATTTTTAATTATCACAGTGAAAGGTGTAAAAACCTTGCCTGCAACACCTGTCATTCAGTGAGGTGTTGATCTTCTGCATGCATGCACTTTTACTAGACCTCTTTTTCTTGTCCTAGTTCATCGTGAGGATTGGTGATAATGCCACCTTGTGCCCTTCTGCACCTCACCCTTTTCTGCAGAGATCCGTTGTTGCTCTTGGTATGCTTAGAATTCATTCTGGTAGGATTGTTGGTGCCCCTGTGGATAAAAAGCAAGAGGTTGAGGACCAGATGAGCCTTGGTACCCTCTTTGCAACATTGGGGATCCAGGCCCTCAGCGAGCAGCTAATGTCTTGAGGCATCAGGCTAGGTGGGTACCTCCTGTGGGAAGGAGTCCCTAGTGACTATCACTAGTCTCTCCTTTATGCAGGCAGTTGGTTCTGAATGCAGGTGGCTTTGATGCTTCCATTAATAGAAGATTTTCCTCTTAATGTGTTCCATCAGTGCTGTATCTGTTCAGTAACTGCAGATTTGCAGGTAGAGAGGGAGTCTTCATTCTATTGCTGGAAGTCATAGGCTTCTTACCTACTTAATTTTTAAAATCTCCTTTTCTTACTATTTTGAATACAGTCTCTAGCTGTCCCTATTGCTTTGCAATGTGGGGCTCGGGTTTTTGTCTGTGCAGGGTCATAGTTATCCCCTCTTAGTCCATTCTGTACAGTCAGCTCATCTCCTCCTACAGTTTCTTCACTTTCTGACTCAGATCAGAGAACTTCTAGACAAGGATGGACTGTATTTTAGAGTAGGATCTTCCAGCCTGAAAAAGAGATGTAGGAGAGATGTGACAAAGTTCTGTAAACGGTAAGTGGTATGAAGAATGGATATTTGCTATCTTTTCCTCTACAAGAACCTCATGTAACAAATGGAGGAAAGGAAAAATAGGAGAGGCAAGATCAAGACATGTAAGGAAGAGGTAGTTCTCCCTGTGGAGAACCTGTGGAGCTCCTTGCTAGCAACACTGTGACTGCTAAAAGTTTACCTACATTATTCTTCTGTGGAAGAGGAATTTTTTTTGAGGACATTCAAGCACAGAAACCCTAAAGCTGTGGAGGTCTTCCACCAGCGATTTTTCAGAAAGCTGAGAAAGTTTTCTGGGTCTGTGTTAACTGTTCTTTCCTCATATTCTCTACTTGCTCATCTACTGTTGACATGAAAATGTTGGAGATAGGATCCTGGATTAGATGAAGAGTTGGTTTTGCCTAGTGCTGTGTTCTTTCTCTTACCTAATTTGTACACTCTCAAGTTTTACTAGGTGAGTATGTCTACCAAAGCAAATCTTAAGTCTTTCTTTCTCAGAATTGCTAGCACTTTGGGTGCATTGTAGACACCTTGATTCTAGGCTTCTTTACAGCAATGGCATTTCATGCCCTCCAGGGATAGTTTGAAAGAGAGCTTACTTGTTACTGATCTTTCTTAAGGGAGTCTGAAGCCAAGCACCACACTCAAGTACAATCTTTTAAGAATAAAGTGCAGTTAATATTTAAAAGAATATAGCTTGTCTTCTAGAAGGTAGTGTTTGAAGAGAACTTCAGAGCATATAAATGGCAGTTAAATAACTAAACATGCACTTTTGTTCCTGTGTTGTAATAGAACTAGCTGTCAAAATTTCTGAATTCACAAACAGGAAAATGTTACACTTAAATGTCACAGATGAAACCACTTTTCTGCGGTAATTTTATATTTCTGGTTTTTTACTTCAAAAAGGGATAATGGAAGACTTTCAGAGAGCTGCTGCAAAAAATATTTCAGCATTTCAGAAACAAACTATACTAGAAAGCTGAAAAGAGCATAAGTTTTGTGCATCCAGTAGAAGAGCAAAGAGGTCCACAGTATCTGTAAGTGGCAGCTGAATATATGGTGGAAAGAGGTTTCTTTATTGCAGTACACAAAGACACAACCACTGCATTTTTGATCCACAGGGTTTTTCCAACAAGAAATCAGGCACACTTCTGTCTGGCAGACTTTGGAGAACCCTTTAATGGATGTTGGATTTATCAGTTGTAATCTCAAAGTCCTTTCTGTTTTTTTTTTTTTTTCAACTAAAAATGAGAAGAGAAAGAAGAAGAGAGTATTGTGCCTTGTGTTTGAATTGCTTTATAATTTTTTAAAATTTTATGATAGGCAGGAGGACTTGTGACCAAATAATAGAGTAGTTCATGTTGGGAGGGACCTGAAAGTCTCTAGTCCAGTCTCCTGCTCAAAGTAGGGTCAGCTTTGAGATTAGACAAGGTGGCTCAGAACTTTATCCAGTCAGGTCTTAAACTTCCACAGATGAAGAATGGACAACCTCTCTGGTCAGCCTGTTCCAATTATTCTCTTCATGTTGGAAGTGTTTTTCTTTCCATCAGTTGGAATCTCTTGTTTCTGCTCACATGTGTTGCACCTTTACAATGAGTCTGGATCTGTCTTCTCAAAAGCCACCTTACAGGTATTGAAAAGCTGTTTTTAAATCTCCATTAAGATTTGTCTTCTCCATGCTGAATAAGCCCAGCTCCTTCAGCTTCTCTTAGAGGTTGTGTTCCTCAGCGCCTTAGCAGTCTCTTGCTCCTTACTGAGAGATGGCATAACAAGCATCAAGGGCAATAATCACTTCGTATGGCTCTGTTCCTGTGAATGTAGCTCAGGATGCTGTGGACCTCCTTTGCTGCCAAGACATGCTGTTAGCTCGTGCTTTGCTTGCTGTCTATGCAAGTCCTTCAAGCAGAGTTGCTCCCCCAGCCATGTGTCATTGCAAGGGCTCTCCCTTCCCGGGTGCAGAACTTCTGTATTTGTCCTTGAATATCACAAAGCATTTGTCATCCTGTTTCTCCACCTTTTCTAGGTCATGGTGATTCCTTTGAAAATACGTGAATCTGTGATTTCTTCCTAAACAAAAATAGTCAAATCCTGTCATGTTTCATGGGAAGAATCTGTATTTCTGTTTTATAATAATTTTTGGGTAGAGTTTGATCAAGGATTTGCTACTTAGAAAGGCTATGCATTTCTGCTTTCTTGTGATAGCTGTCTGTGCACATCAGTTCTAGCCAATTTGTAAAGAGAATGTTGCAGTTACAGGATTATGGAATAGTGAGAGTATGTCTGTGCAGTCCAGAGTAACTTGGAAATACTATTCAAATGTTTTTAGGATTACTCTAATTTGCACTTACATGTATATTTTGGCAGAACTGGCATTCAAATATGCATCCAGTCAGTCCCTAAGCATATGTACGTGCTTGCAGATGTAGAAATTATTAAAAGGTTTTTTTCAACTGTTTAATGACAGGTAATCCCCTAGTTAAAAAAAAAATAAGATAAACACCTTTTGTTCAGATCCATGGCAAATAGTGTGACTTAAAGCAACTGTGTGATAAATAAAATGATAATGATATCATCAAATTACCATTTTTTTAAGGGATTGGATTTGTTGCTTCTGCCTGTCTAGCATCACAATAACAAGATTGCATCTTAGTGAAAAATAAGCTGATAGCCAACTGTAAAATTATCTCAGTATTATGGTTTGAGCCTTCCTAACTAAAGAGGCTTAAACCACTTTTAGTTAAATGAGCTATATTTGTTCACAGAGTGATGGAAGTTTGTAAGGAAGGGACTTCCTCATCCTGAGGGACTTCCATCATCCTGAAATTACTTCTTTCTCTACATAGAACTCAAAACATTCAGCATCTTTCAGCTAAATATTAAAATCTGTAAATTGTGGGAAAAGTACTCTTGAACTTAACTACTCCTTTACATTTTTAGGTAAATGAGTCCTATTTTATTGATAATAATTAAATACATGATGCTTATCTATAAGTCTTAAACACATGGCATAGGCACTATGCTATTTTATTACCTTAAAAATAAATCAGATTGGTTTTGAAGAATTTATGTGGTATGGATATTATTCCTTTCATAAATTAACAAAATGAAAAATCTCATCATTTCAGTTTTTGGTTTTCTGACACCTTTTTCCTGATTTATTAGGTGACATTTTAAATCATTCAAATTTTCTTCAAAGTAGAAGTTAAATTTAGTGTTAAGAGAGCAACAAGTATATTTTTGCAGCCAGAGCTTCCTCTAAAAAAGCTAGTAAACTGCTGCAATAGCAAAATGAAAATAGGAAATCGGAGAAGTGTGCAGATCAAGATGTACCAAGGCAGTGCTGACCTGTTATATTCTGGATAGATTTAATGTAATCTTAAAAATAATAGTTCTAGGCTGTATCTAACAGGCATAGGAGGTGGCAAATACAGCCTGCATGAAACACATGATGGAAGTTCATGGAACATACAATAAAAGCTTTCAGGAAGCATTAGCATTTTTCATTTTAACACGTGTGTATTCTGGCATGTTATTTCAGATTTTTCTTTATTTAAGAATTTACTAAACTATATGTTTTTAAATGATTAGTCTTAAATTGTGGTACTTTGTGTTAGGAAGAAACTTGAAATGAAAATTCATATTTGTTAAAAAAAGAAGAATCTAGACCGTTTCTACCACAAAGATTATTGGGTGAATTTGCCAGTTGTAAATAAATAGAGAAGCATATTAGTATTTTGTTACTGAAATTTTTATACTTTTTTCCTAGGTGAAAAATAAACTAAAATAATTTATTGGGAACTTTTAACTACATTAAAAATGCATTGTTTAATTTCATAGGTAACTTTGAGACATTCTGTTGATACTTAAAGATAAGCAAATCCAGAAGTGAATCTTAATGTGTTTTATGGTAGTTTAGATTTTTGCGCTGAAGGTATCCTCTGATTTTTATTAAATCTCTGCATTCCCTCTGTGTCATACTTAATTCTCTTGCCTTCCCCTACATGGTTTTTCATAAGTGTTCTGAGTTTGCTATTCAAAGTGGGACTCTTCAGAGACTTCTGTAGGTCAGCATAAGTAACACATGGGTTTATTTTTTCTGTTTATAGAAGAGGTGGAGGAGGAGAGAAGAAAGGAGTGTGAGGAGGATAAAGAAGGAGAAGAGACCCACAAAGAAGAAGAGAAACACACAGAGAAAAGTACGTGATATTACAATTATGCTTCACTGGTGGCACATTCTAGAAACACAGAGTCATTGATGTTGGAAGGGATCTTTGGAGATTATCTAGTCTGAACTCCCTGCTCAAAACCAGGTCAGCTAAAGCAATTAGCTCAGAACCATCCAGGCAGGTTTTGTGTATCTCCACAGGTAGAGACTCCACAACCTTCCAGTGTTCCACTTTTACTGTTTGATTACCCTCACAGTAAAAAAGTTTTTATATGTTTGAATGGAATTCCTGTATTTCAGTTTGCATCCATTTTTCCCATCTGTTTACTGGTATTCAGAGAGATTTGGTCTGTCTTTTTTCACTCTCCACCCATCAGGTAATTTATGCACATTATAAAAATCTCCCCTGACTGCCTTCTCCAGTTGAACAATGCCAGCTGTTATTTCCTCATATGATGGATGCGCTAGTATGTAAAACATGTTGGTGCTCCTAACTGAAGTCTATCTGGTATGCACATGTTTTTCTTGTATTTAGAAGCCCCAAACTAGACATAAGACTCAAGGTTCAGTCTCACAGTTCTGATTATAGGGTTATAATTTCCTCCCTCAACCTGCTGATGATATTCTTCCTCAGGCTTGGCTGATGTTGTCAGCCTTCTTTGCCAACAGGGCACATTGCTGGCTCATGTTCAACTCAGTGTGCATTGAAGACCACCAGGGCCTTTTCTGCGAAGCTGTTTTCCAGCTGGTCAGTCCCAGCCTGTTCTAGTACATGAGTTTAATACAACCCAACTGTAGGACTTTGCATTTTGTTGAACTTTATGAGATTCTCATTTGCCTATTTCTCCAGCTTGTCAAGGTGACACCAGCAGCATAACCATCTAGTGTAGCAACGACTCCTTTCAGTTTTGTATCATCTGCAAATCTGCAAGTTCCTGAGGATGCCCTCCATCCCATTATCTAGGTCATTAATAAAGACATTAATGTTGATACCAGTATCATCTGCTGGTATACATTATAGTGACAAGCTCCAGCTGGACTTTGTACCACTAATCACAGCTCTTGGAGCCCAACAGTTGAGCCAGTCCATTTATCTAGGCCATACATCATGAGTTTTCTCTGAGGGTGTTTTGGGTGTCAAAAGCATTTCTAAAGAGAAGAAAAACAGCATCCACTGCTCTCCACTTGCACACCAAGCCAGTCGTCTCATCATAGAAGGCTGTCAGGCTCATGAAGCATGATTTTTCCCTTGATAAATCCATTTTGACTGTTCACCATCACCTCCTTTAATAGGTTTACAAATTATTTCTAGAATTACTTGCTCTATCACATTCTCAGGGATTGAGGTGAGGCTGACCATCCTGTAATTCACTGGGTCCTTTTTGCCCTTCTTGAATATTAGAAGAAAGCAAATGTCCCTCCTGTCCTCAGGAACCTTCTGGTGTTGCCACAACCTTTCAAAGGTTGAGAGTGGCCTTGCAGTCACTCAGCCAGCTCCCTCGGCACTTGTGAGTGCACTCCTCTGTCTTGAATGAACTTGTGTATGTCCAGTTTGTTTAAATGTTAACTCACTGCCTCTCCACTGAAAGTGAGTCTGCCTTTGCTCCAGACTGTCCCACTGATCTCAGGAAGCTGGCATTGCTGAAGGAAATTCTTCCCATTAAAGTCTGAAGCAAAGATGGCATTGAGTGCCTGGGCGTTTTTTTGTGTCCTTTTTCTGCGTCACATGCTCCCTTGCCTCATTGAGCAGGGGTGACATAGTTTTCCTTGTTTTGCTTTTGCTGATAGTATACTGGTAGAAACTCTTCTTGTTGCCCTTCATGTCCCTCACCAGATTCAGATCAAGGTAAATCTTGGCTTTCCTAAGCTAATTCCCACCCACATAGTGCCTTTGTCTTTCTCATAGGTCACTAACAGATGGGGGGCCTCCATCCCCTGCAGGCAGGGAGTCACTTGCTGCTCATATGTGGTGCTACTGCATGGCTTAGGCTGCACCAGCTCGGATGTTTCACTGGGCACATGTCCCAGCTCCATATCTGCCATGAAGGCACTGAACCAAATTTGTCATTGTCCTGTACATCTGCAGGCAGAGTGCGAGCTGCTGTCCTGGTGCTTCCAGCTTTTGTCATTCTAGGAGTCTCTATTTCCCATCTGGATAAGCTCAGGCTCTGGCTGTACCTCTTCTGGTACAGCCAGGTGTTGCAGTTCTTGAGGCTGCAGTGTCTTGTAGTATATCCAATCTGTTCCTCAATTATTTCTGATGCTGTGCCATCCCCTGACCTCCTCCCATAGCTCCTTTAACGTGGTGTGCTGGGTTTGTGTGGCAGGTTTTTTGGTAGCAGGGGAAGGTGCTACAGGGGTGGCCCCCTGTGAGAACCTTCTTGAAAGCTCCAAGTTGGACCCACACCTGGCCAAAGCTGAGCCAATTAGCAGTGGTGGCCGTGCCTCTGTGATAATGTATTTAAGAAGGGAAATTGAGAGAGGTTTGGAGGCTTGTGAGGAGGCTTTACAGAGAAGCACACCTTTGTGAACACCGAGGTCAGTGGAAAGATGTGGGAGGAGGTGCACCAGAGCAGAGAGCACCCCTATATCCCATGGTGATAGGGCATGGCCACTCCCTCTTGCCACCAATGGAGGTCAGTGGGGGAGCAGAGATTTGCCTGTGCCCTGTGGAGGACCCTTGGGACTCTCTGCAAAGAAGCATCCCCGCTGTTGTAGTTTGGCACTGGTAGGACTGCAGCATGTGGAGGTGAACCACAGTGGATCATCTCAAGAAGAATGCATCCTGTGGGGAGGACTCATAACAGACAAAGTTTTTGGAGGACTGTCTCCTGTGAGAGACACCATGTGGAGCAGGGGCAAGAACGCAGACGAGTGCTTCTTTCCCTTTTGCAGAAAGAAGCAGCAGCAGCATGACTGTGTATGCCAAAATGTCTTGCTAACTTTTTTTTTTTTTAACTGAGAATAGAGTAGGTCAGTGTAACTTTTTGGAATGTGCAGACACAGCTGAATTTTGGTGCTTTTGTAAAGGAGAAAGGAGTTTGAAGATAAGGTAATAAATGAGACAGTCGGGCCTATTCTTAAAGATAACAGGAACAAGGACAGGACAAACTAAAACAAACAAGCTCAAGACACACCACCTCCTAACAGACCTTTGTGAGCATATGTGAACACTGAGGTCCACCAGCAGACATGGTGAGGAGAATACTGACAACCACCAGAAACCCCTTGAGACCACCACCCAGCAAGAAAGCACATGTGTAATTAGGATGCAAATACTATAACTAGTTCCAGGAAATCTAATGCATATGTAACTCATTTCTCAGAAAAATTATTAATATATATGATCACACTGTATATTAGCTGCTGCTTATAGATCTTGAGCGTGCTCACTTTTTGCAAAGCTATTTGTGTGTGCACCCAGGGCTGCAATAAAGAATGCCTGCTTTCTGAAACTCCAAAGCGAGTCTTAAAAGAGTTCCTCTGCCGGCTTTTACGGTAACAACTGCACTGTCCATCCCCTGCCCCTGTGCTGCTGGGGAAGGAGGTATATAGATACTGGGAACAAAACTGAGCCAGGGAAGAAGTGAGGGGTAGGGAGAGGTGTTTTTAAGATGAGCTAATACTTCTCACTGCCCCATTCTGTCAGGTGTTGTTGTTCTTAGTGTTTTGAATTAAAGTGATGTCCTCTTTTCTTCCCCTAAGGTGCCTGTCTTTTGCTGAGTGACTGTAATTGGGTGATCCCCCTCTCCCTGTTCTTATCTCGTTTTCTGAGCCTTCATTCTCTCCTTCCCAGTGCTGGTGGTGAAGGGATGAGTGAACAGCTGGGTGGTGCTCATTTACCCTCTGGGCTCAAACCATGACACTTGGCAACACAGCTCTCCTGCTGGTTTGCACCTTCTGTAGCCAAGAAGCTCATCTCCCTCTGCCGTAGTCTCAGCCAGAATGGGAGGTACTAGAGAATCCCTGCAGCTGAAGCCTTATCTTCCCCAAAATAGCTCAGTCTGGGCAGAGGCTTTGACATTACCCGAGAGTTGTTCTGGTGGCTGCTGGATACCACACAATGTGGCACATCACCACAGCTACTGAGCGCAGGGACCATCCCCCATCTGTGCATCGTGCTGCAAAAAGTCCTCTGTAAACTCCTCTGTGGGAGCTGTACTTCAGGCAGCAATAGTAAAAAGCCTCTCCCAAGTACCTGCTGCAAGGGTGATTGAGCTTCCAATAAGAAATCAGCTAGAACATCAGCACAAAGCACCCTTTGATCAAGAACAGTGACACAGCTCATTAGAAGCTGCAAGAGATCCTGGAAGTCACAGCCTCCTTTAGCCTTTCCACTAGTAGCAAGCACCCTGAAGCTCTTCAGAGAGAATCAAACTGCAGTAAAATGGTGTGTAGCATCTGCCTCAGAAGAAATAACCTGAACTTTAAACATGTTCTGCTAAACATGTCGGTAGCTCTTGCATGTTACACACTACTTGTACTGTTCAGTGGTTAGGCTTTTTCTAAAGAGACACTAGAAGACAGTTGTATGGAAGATCCTAATAAACTTTTCTTCACTAGTCTGAGAATAGTGTTCTAGCCAGATTTCTTTTTTATGTGTACAAGTTTTTCTGATGGATGGAAGAAAGCTGGGAGATGTAGCTTTCCCCCCTTCATTTTCCACTATTTACTGTCGTTATGTAAAATATGAAAAACTTGTACCATAGACATTTATATTGCTTGCAAATATTTAGTATTCTGCAAATGTTTATGAAGACCCCTGTGGCCCTATAACTTACCTGAAATTTGAGGACCTATATTTTCACAAACTTCTAAAAATAACTTAGGTATCCATGCAGATTTTAAAATACTACCTTTTAATAATTTTATTACATTAGTGTATTTTTAGAGCAATTCAAATAAGAAACAATCAGAACTCTAGCCATCAAAAAAATCAGACTGTAAGAAATTTGTGAAGTTAGAAATAGAACTCACAGAGTGTGTGTAAAACAAGTAAAGTAAAAATGGCAGTGAAAAGTATGTATCTGTTATGCTGTTTCAGTATGCAGGGGAGTCTTCATTGATGTACTACTAATTCTGTCTTTCTGTGTCATTCTCGAGTTTGGGGACTGTGGTCTTTGTCATTTTGATGATAGTCAGGTACCCACAGTATGCTCTGTAGGTTCCATTCCTGATAATTTACCTAGGCTTCTTGTTTTACGTGTGGATCTCTAGAGGATGCAGTGCCAGGACCTGGAGGAATGCATGAGATTTCTGGTTCTTTTGTGCTTCATTGCTGTGATGAAAATGACTTTTATTATAAAGTTCTGGTTTGAGCCTGGGTTTTAGTTAGATTTTTACTTTTCTTCTTATCTAAGAAGTAAGAAAAAGGTTTGAATGTTTATTTCAGTCAGGGATTGGAGGTACAGGTTAGAACTTCATGGGAGGTAGAAAAAAGGGTCCTTGATGACACAGCGAGAATGAGATACAGTCTTACTTGGCTGGAATCTTGAGGAGAGGATTCCTTTTTCAGAAGAGGGTTTTGTTTTGCTTCTCAGAAGCCATGTTTCATTCTAGGATGATGCTGATAGGAGCAGGAAGTGATATGGTGATACTATAGCCATTTTGCATTTGGGGCAGTGGTTTGGTGAATCACAAAGCAGAACTCTTAGCAGGGCAGCAATGTACAGACACTAAAGCGGCTGCTTTTCTGCTTTGATGTCATCAAACATTTTCAAAAGACTTCTTACTGGTTTAGGATGAGAAAGCTTAAACTGGGGACAAACAAAACTTCATAATAATTGCAGCATTCTGCAGATACCTGTTTTTTCAAAGATGCCCCACAAGTAGTTGTATCTAATTGTTCCAGGTGAAGTGTCAAGGAGAAAGCGTTCCAAATCTGAGGACATGGACAGTGTTCATTCTAAACGTCGTCGGTACATGGGAGAAGATTATGAAGCAGAACTCCAAGTAAAAATTACAGCCAGAAAGGATGTTGACCAAAAATTAGAAAAGGTAATGGCAAATACACACCTGTCACTTGTCTTGCCATCTTTGAATTAACTGTCCTTTCCCACATGCTCTCTGCCCCCCCAAACTCTCAGTTTTTGTTGTTGAAAATTGGACGCAATTCAAACAACAAAGGTGGTTTAATTCATATAAAGTCCTATATAGCCCTGCTTCTAAGAATAGACCAAATATCATTTGAAAACTATTCTGAAAAGGTATATTTGAAATGTATTAAATATTTGAACTCTTAAGTCTCACATGGAGAGAATCTTAGCATTGGAGGTATTTCAGTATGGTAAATGTTTATATGTGGTGCGCTTTATTATGTGCCTAGCTTTAAATAAAGTTCTGTGTCCAAACAAGAGTGCAATCAGCATAGCATTTTGCAGATTTTTGTATAGCCTGATTGCACCGTTAGCATGTAAAGAAACGTATGGTGTTGAAGAAAAAAAAATTGAGCCCTTCCTTCAATAGTTAGTTAGCTAGTGCATGTTGTAACTTTAATGTGGGATGCAAAAAACTGAACTGTTTGTTGCTTGTTTATTTTTGTTTTCTAAGGAAAATGTTTGCAGTAGGTATAGGAGGGAGAAAAGTTTTAAATAATAAGTGTATCAAGTAAACTTTGCAGAAATCAGTCTCTTTTTTCATTTTTTAGCTTCTGAAAGAAAAGCAACACACGCATTTTTGCTAGGGAAAGGTGCATGTCAGAAATAAAGTTTTGTTGAATTTCTTTTAGTTTTTGTTCTTTGAATGCCAGTGTCCTTCTCAAGAACAGAGAATCAAGAGGAAAAATTAATTTGTGTAAACACAGCACTTTATGAAAATACCTGCTGTTGTTAAGGTTCTTTTGATATTCAGTAAGGTTTTATACACTTCACTTACCATACTGTAGTGAAATTAATTCCTTGGATTAATGGCAAAGAGTGACCATTTGTATCTGCCACAATAGATGTTCTTAGCTGTGCAACCGCATGTTTATTGGTGACTACAGATTTATTTGATTGACAAGGCACAGCTGTTGTCATTGTTCTGTTTGTAGCAGGATACTTGTTAAAACTTGAGAATATTTTTATAGATGATCTCACAAATTCTGAAATTGCATTGTTACATTTTAAAAAATATTAATTTTGCAGGTTATCCAGAGACTGTTAGAAGAAAAACTTACTGCTTTACAGTGTGCTGTATTTGACAAGACTCTGGCAGACTTGAAAACACGAATAGAGAAAGTAGAATGTAACAAGAGGCATAAAACTGTGCTTACTGAACTACAGGTGAGTGATTGTGTGTTGAACTGTAGACTAGAGTCAAATTTAAAATAAGGCCCTCAACATGTAGTAGTAAGTTTACTGTCATTGTCAGTAGGGAAGTAATTTTGACTTCACAAAGGGAAGGGGTAGAAGCAACAAATACTGATGTTGCTTTTGAGTTCTAAAATTCTGTTGCCCTACTCAGAAAGAAGAAAGCAATCAGTTAATCATCAAAAAACCCCAAAGCAAATCTTCCTTCTGGCAAACTGATACATCAGCTCTTAGTAAGCTGCTCTTGCAGTCTTTTGTTCCATTTAGACATTATTCAGATAAATTTTAAGTATGAAAATGTCTAATGCCTTTGTGAAGCCAGAAATTTCTTTAAAAATGAAAGAGCACAGAAAGGAAAGGACAGTAGCATGTTGTAATATGTTCAAACAAAGAACATAATACTTACCCATGTAACTTCCCCAGAAACTAAATAATTATGTTCTATCAAGGAAGCGAATAGCTGGTGTTGAATGCAGTAAGCTTTCTTGTAGTCTTTGTAGAAACAATGTACATAGCAATGACCTGAGGAGCACTACAAAAATCAAAGAATTTTGATAGGACAAGACAATTAAAAGCTTATGTTATAAAAATTCAAACAGTAAGGCCATTTTACTTTTAACATTAAAAAAGTATGAAGTTTGCCAGACCAGTTCATACTATATAACTCTTCCCTCTTGCTGCCCCAGACGTTTTATGGTGACTTTTGAAGTACTAAGAAGCTTTCAGCATGTACTTACCAGTATCTTTAGCCATCAACTACAGTGTTAACATTGTATAAGGCTGTGAATGTGTTGATGTTAATATACTCAGAACCTAAGCTTATGTGGTTTTATTATACAAGGCGCTCCAAAACACCTCTGTGTTATAAAAGGTAACAAATTGAAATATAAACGTAACTAAAGGCAGACTATAATTGTAGCCTGCCATGCTGGTTTTTAAAAATGTGGAAGAGGTGAGGTTTCTACATGGACCAGCTCCTTCTATGTCATGAAGTTCTGAAATCATGGTATATGAAAGTCCATTAGAAAACTTCTATTATTATTAGAAAACTTCCATTCTTCTAGTGATAACCTAGTGTTTTTGAGGAGTTCTAAAAAGAATTTAATTATTCTTTCTGTGAGAAAAAAAAAAAAAAAAAGAGAGAAGGTAGCTGCATAGAACAAGTGGCACAGCTACTACCTCCAGATAAGTCAGCCATCAGAACTGCAGCCTAGACAGGGTAAATTATGATTCTCTAATGCTGAGATAATTATAGAAGGAATGGTCACCAAATGGTGTCTTGTGGGAAGCATAGGTAAAAGACAAGATGTAAGAATGGTGCTGAAGAATATAATGAACCTGACACCTGGAACATAGAATAGAGTAATACAAAGCTGACAGTAAGGTATGATAGGTAGTATATCAGTTCTAGGGAGAAATAGGATAAATGGGGGAAGAGTAGATAAATTGAAAGGCAAAAAGGGGTGCATTTCGCAGTATGGTTGGTACATAAGGCATTGAAAGAGTGAAATGCTTTCAGTTGCTTTTATTCATACAGAATATTGTGTGATCCTCTGCAAGATGGATTCTGTTTGTGCAGTTGCAAATAGGAAGGAAAATAATGGAGGTTGTCTCTAAGATTTCTTGAATGTGATACAAGTGTGTGTCTTTCTGCTGCTCAGAAGTAATATAGTTGTACTGTATTTCAAGGAAGAAAAATTTCCCCTGATATGAAAATAGCCTTTGATTTGATGTCTTCATTATGTATCTTCTAGTTTGTATAATTTCTTTGATGGTTCTTGGGGTACAGTATATTTATGGTCTTTGTTTGTTTGTCTTGATCTTATTCCCATTCAGGCTAAAATTGCTAGATTGACAAAGCGGTTTGGAGCAGCCAGGGAGGACTTGAAGAAAAGACAGGAAGTAAGAACTAGATTTGTTATATTTGTTTTTCTGAGTTAGCCTAAACCTTGTGTTGAAAAATAAAGAGATTTTATATGCATAAAAAAGTGACCTGATTATTCAGTGGTGTTCACAAAGTAGGTTTATCTTGTTTGGTTAAAGGCAATAATATGAAAGAATGGTCTTTTAACTCGTTATGTAATTCCAGTTTGTACAAAGGGTTCTTTAGACATTATTAGTGTGAAAGCACCTCAAACTGTATGTAAGTAAATCTCATTTACCTCAATGTGAAAGTACAGAGTAAATGAGTGAATGCCAGTACCTTGGTATTGGGGGTGGAGGAGGGAGAGGAATGAATATAAATAATAGTATTTCTCTGTCTAGAATGAATATTTTTGATTAATTACTGTGAAGAAGTGGAAGCTAAAAGTCCATTAACGCTCAAAAAATATTGATTCTCATGATATAAAAACCTGAAAGCAAGAGACTTACAAAAAGGGAGGATGTAGGAGAGGGAGGCAGGTAGGACCAAAGAGGTTTTGGGGCACTGTAAAATGTGTCAAGTCCTGTTGCAGCATTGGCTCCAGAAAATTTTTATCTCATAAAGAAATGAATGAATATAAAATATAATGAAAGCATAAGTTTGCAAGCTGACTTACAGTTGTTTTGTTATTTCTTTTATATATATATATATATATATATATTTTTAAAAATTTTTCTTTAAGAATGCACCAAATGTACCTCTGTCTCCAGCAAAGACAGGAAGTGACATTGCAAACACAAACAATGCGACATATCGGTAAGCAAACCACATCACTGTGGTGATGTTAAAATTTACAATAGGAAACTTGAGATACCTAATGTAATGGATAATCCCAATGTTCTTTATTTAAAGTGCTCTTTCTTTTTCTTCATTCCTCTTCAATTGTACAATTCTATTTTTCTTTCACAGAAGTCATAAATGGACCCTATAAAACACATTCTTAAGTAAACTGAGATGGGTGTTGTTTCACTAGTTAAAAAATAATGGATAAAATGGAAGTTTAATTTCAAGGAAGGGAAAATTCTCATGGTGAAAGGCAAACTTGGTGGAAGCACTTGAAAATTTACAAATAATTATGCTTTTTTTTACTATGGGAATATCCAAAGTTAATTTGCATGAGGGGCAGAAAATAAATGGGTTTAGAAAATTTGCAATGAAAAGAATAGTTGTAAAATAAGGGATTTTTTTCATCATTGTGCTGTTCATAATAATACCAGGTGTGGCTCATTGAGAAATGCTAACTGAAATTTTGTTCCATAGAAATGCTGGCACAGTGAGGCAGATGCTGGAGTCGAAGAGGAGTGTAGGTGAGAGCACACCAGCGACTTTTCAAGCCACTGTGAATGCAGGTAAGAAACTGCCTATGGACTATAAACACACTTCTTAAAAGTTTTACTGCTTTCCATTAACAGAACAGAACAAAACTGGGGTTTATGACTTCCTTTTGCTGACATCAAAAATCATTATTTTTAGCTCCCTACCACATTCCCAGTTTATATTTGTATAGTGTACTTACCAGGTAAGAAAAAAAAGTGGTGATATGGTCAACCAGAACATGTGGGTAAACTAGGTACTTCAGCAGGCTGCTTGCTTGGTATGACAGCAAAACTTGCAGTCTCTCAGCTGCAGAGAAGTGAAACACGTGGCTAACAGACCATTTTTTTTGTACTCGATCATAGTAGGATGCTAATAAATTCTGTAGCCATTAGGTAGAGGGGGGAAGATAAGTGGGGAACGAGCAGAAGTAATAAGCCCCATTTCTTAAGGGAATCAAGTTGAAAAATTTAATTTCTAGATTAGAATTTTATAGGGAATGTAGAATCAAACTCACTATTAATTACATTCATTGTAGTCGCACCATCATTTGTTTTAAAAATAGTTTACTTAATATTGAATGCTGAATATTTTCCACAGAATCATCTCATAGTAGGCATATACTGGCTTTCTGTAGTGTATTATGCTCCTGACCTTTAGATTTAATCATGAAATTATGTTGCATAAAAGTGAGTATTTTTTCTGACACATCAATCCTTGGTTTCAGTAGAACCTTCTGGATACAAAGTCCTACCTGTACAAAGCAAGTCAGTCATAACTGGCTTAGTTTTTCTTTTCGTGTTTTTTCTTAAGGACCAGTTGTTCTACCATTTTTGTAATGTGTGTTTAAGATGCTGTATTTCATGTTTTCAACAGTTAAATCTTGAAGCTTTCTTCAAGCCTGTTGATGTCATAGTTCTTTATATATCTTAATTTTTTGCCATTTATATATAGTTCTTTCAAACAGAAATACAGTATTGACTGCATCTTTAAGCCATTGAATATCAGAGTGTACAACAGAAAATCACTATCTATAGCCTTTCTTTGCAAAAAAGTTAATCATAAACCATATTTTTCATAGGATGCTTTGGATTGAAAAGGACCATTAAAGATCATCTAGTCCAATCCCCCTGCCATGGGTCAGGACATCTTCCACTAGATCAGGTTGCTCAAAGCCCCATCCAGCCTGACTTCAAACACTTAGATTGATAGGGCATTCATTACTTCTCTGGACAACCTGTTCCAGTGACTTGCCACTCTTGTTGTAAATCGTTTCCATCTGTTGTGTTGGAGTGAAACTTCCCACTTCGTTCAAATACTTAATTTTTTTTTTCCCCTTTTTTGGATGCAGTGCCAGCTTCCAGTCTTGCTGTTCCTCCAGCAGTTGTCAGTGGACTTCCTAAGCCTCAGGCTCCAATGACCTCCACCAGCTCTTTGACAACAACAGTTCTTCCTACAGCTAATACAGCTACAGTTGTAGGCACTAACCAACTGCCCAGTGGCAGCACTCCATCGGTGTCTGTCTCATTGCAGTCTTTGCCCGTAATCTTACACGTACCTGTTGCAGTGTCATCCCAGCCTCAGATCCTGCAAGGTCACACAGGGACCTTGGTCACTAACCAACAGTCAGGCAACGTTGAATTTATATCTGTACAAAGCTCATCTACAGTTGGTAGCCTTACCAAAACTACAGTATCTTTGGCATCAACTAACCCACCTAAACCAAATAACAGCCCATCTGTGCCCAGTCCTGGTACACAGAGGAACTCTCCAGCCAGTGCTGGATCAGTAGGCACAACGTTGGCAGTACAGGCTGTTTCTGCTGCACATCCTGTTGCCCAGGCCACAAGGACTTCTTTGCCCACAGTGGGTACTCCAGGACTTTATAATGCTACCAGCAGTCGAGCCCCCTTACAGATGAAGATTCCCCTCTCTGCATTTAGTAGTACAACTCCTATTGAACCACCCACCATTACAGCACCCCGAGTTGGTAAGTTGTGTTTGAATGTTGACACTGGGGAAGGAAAATAATTGTCAGAGGGAAACACAAAACTGTCCTCCAGTGGAAATTTGTTTGTTAGTGCATTTTACTGAGATGTTTCTTCTGGGTTGCCTTTCTATTGAAATTGTCAAGATAAAAATCATCTCTCTCATAGATATGTTTCAGCCATTGTTGAAAATAATCTCTACTTAGAAGTCAGCAGTGTGGCTCTGTAAACTTTGTTTTATTTATAACTTGATTTATATCATTCCTAGCATGAAGTCAGAAACTCCTACCATTAACAACTTGGTATTTATTTTTAATAGAGCTTCCCAAAATAATCTGGCTTCCTTTCTAAGCAAAGACATACTGAAACGAAAGTATAATAATTAATGTAATTTTCACAGCACTTAAAAGTAAACAAAATAGGGGGAGGAAAAAAGCAACAGAATGCTAACCTAGTTGCAAAGTACATTTACTGTATTTAATATAAAGTCTTCGAACACAATGAAAGTTCAAACAGTATCTAGATTAACTATTTTAAAATACTTTCTCTCCCTCTTTGGCCATGACATGATGATTCTCTGCATTTCTGATTTTACATACCTTGAAAATTCTTTTCCAAGTCAGTTGGAATTATAGTGAGTTTCTCATTGGTACAATATAAGGTTAAAATGAACTCAAGCAGAGCTTGACACCAGAACTAGTTTTATTTCATTTTCTCATCTTTGAGTTACCTAGGTTAAAATATGTCTTCCACAGAGCTGGATGGTTACAGGCTTTGTTTTGATTTTTAGCTCTAGAATTAATATAATGATGTAACACAAGACAAAAAGGAGTTGTGACAGATCGGGCACAGTGACCAAAGGAAGGGCCTACGTGTCCAAAAAATTTATCTCTCTCTCTATGCAGTTCACATAGCCTTAGCATATACCCTAGTAGTTTTCTCACCAGAACTGAAACACAACTGTAGGCCAGCACTGTTGCTGATAAGCTCTGGTTAAAATGAAAAGGAACGAAAACAGAGAATTTGGATTTAAATGTTTACATCAAATGTTCAGGCACCTTCTGCTTAAGTTACTACTTTAGATATACATTTGGCTGAGCTAATAAAAATACTCGGTCTCCCTGCACAATTTGTTCCAGTTACGTGTTTTGCAGTCTGTTTAACCATCTGTTGTTCAGTCAATTTCTTGTATAAAAATGTTCAATAATTATAATTTTTTTCAGTTTAATATCTTGCTAGTTTACATACAGAGGGAGGAGATGGGTTTTGTCAGCTCCAACAGAATTGAAGTTATGCTTTGTCCTCAGATAGGCAAGGGAATTGTCTATAAAATATTTTGAATACAGTGTCAGACTTTGAGGGAAGGGAACATATACTGCTTCTAGGCTGGAAAGTGTCATTTTGCCTTTCCATATCTTCTGTTTCCTGTGAAAAAATGATAGTAATCTAGCTCGAATACTTCAATAGAAAATTAGGGCTGAAAAATGTTAAATGTGCCACATACTGAATGTTTAGTTTCAAAGATTTTCAAATATTACCTCCAAATTTGTATAGTCAATAACAGTACGTAGTACTGACTAGATACTGCAAATGAACAATTTCTTGACCCCTCAGAAAACCAGGCAAGCAAGCCACCAACAGATACTTCGGCAAACAAGCGAACTGCTGAGGGAACAACACAGGTAGGTTGTTGACTGTTTCTATATAAAATTTTAAAGTTACAATCCACAGGAGAAAAGTTCTTTGCCTTTATTGCTCATAATGAAACAATTTTAGTTTCTTTTTTGTGCCATCCTTTCTAGTTTCTGTCCATTTGTATTTTTCTTCTTCTGATCCTGAGTATTACTTGGAGCATGAGCTTCTGATAATCTTTTCAGAAGTTTTCTTGTGGGGTTTGTGTAAGTAGATGAGTCAGTAATTCAGGAGTACACCGAAAACTTGTCTGATAAAACAGACCTAACATAGAAAAGAAGACCGTGCCCAGTTTTTGTCTGAAGGGCTTGAACTTAAAGTGACAAATATTTTGTAAATTATTGCAGCGCTCTCATTTCCACACTAATCCAGAAGTTAATAAGAATTTGAGTTCTAATATTTCATTGCCATGTGTCCTAGGGAAAAAAAAAAAGGGGAAAAGAAACTTTCTTCAGGAATAACTACTTCATGACAAAGGAGAACTTGCAGTTATTCTGGATTCCTTATCTAAAATTTGTTGAAGTTGCTTTGAAATTTAAGGTTGAAATTAAGCGGTTTACAATTATGTATAATTAGTTTTCTTTCTGTATACTGATCTTTCACGAAGCACCTCCTACTTACATTGCTGTTAACTGGAAGCCATTTTATTAAGAGGAAAAAAACTGATTTGTTCTAGCCAAAATTTCCATATTTAATAGTATTTCAGTGTACAGTTAAATCTGAATTGTATTTCAAAACAAGAAGAAAATATACTGGACAAGATTCTGGTTTTCACCTGTCAGAAATAGTCTGGCAAAGATAATCAGTATTATGAACTGTGCCTCGCTACCTTTTTATTAAGGCATTTCATAAAGAATGGTTGTTTGCAACTTCATTTTTCAAAGATACCTGTGGATTATAGCTATTAAAACATTTGTCAGTACTTGATATGTAGTAAATTCAGTACCAGAATGGATTTCAGATGTATGGTTTTAAGATTTAATTTTCAGTATAAGATGCATATTTTGGAATTTTTCGTCTTCGGTAGAGCCTGAAACCCGGAAAAGATTTTGGAAAAACAGACTGTGTGTAATAGTGATATTTAGCAATGGAAGGTGAGCAAGGAGGAGGGAAGTAAGACACATGATGCTTTCCGGTTTTCAGTCTTATGTTACAGTGTTTTCTAGGTTTGCTTTCAGTCAAATAAGTTAAAGCATGTGTAATGCCATGGTTAATAAAGAAGGACCTGATGCATTTTAATTGGCTAGTGAGGTATGGAATTGACATGCCATTTGAAAAATCCAGTTAATGCCACCTGCTTTTTGTTACATAAAATCCAAAATATTATGTATTACTCCGCACTTCACAGCTCTCAGATCAAAAAGTAGTTCGCTGTGTGCCGTATACCTGTGGCATATTTGATGGTACAACTTTGATCAATTGTTTCGAAAAGCAGTTGAAACAGGAAGAGACTTCATCAGAAAATAAAGAAGCGGTAGAAGCAGCACAGACGAATTTTAACTTCCCTGAGGATGTCCTCTTTGGCTTGGAGGAAGAGGAAGAGGATGCTAAGAGCATCAAAAACACCCACAAGCAGACTGGCTGGGCAGCTAACCTATTAAAACAATGGCTGGCCAAAAATGGCAAGGATCCTAGCTTTGAATTGGTCCCAGTAAGTGAACTCAATGATATCTTAAGAGAGTTTTATTACACAATAAGAAATCATGATGGAAATACCTACAGTGTGGCAAGCTACAAGTCAATGCGTGCTGGCTTAAACCGGCATCTCAAAATGCCACCTTATAATCGTCAGATTTGCTTAATGAAGGACAAAGAGTTTGCTAGTGCAAACATGGTATTTGTGAGTGTGCTGAAGATGCTGCGCATGCAGGGAAAGGATGAGACTCACCACCATCCTCCTATAGCTGCTGAGGACTTGCGTAAGATTAAACAATCTGGTGTGCTGGGATTGCACAGTCCACTGGCACTCGTCAACAAGGTGTGGTTTGATTTGCAGTTGCATTTTGCCAAACGAGGGAGGGAAATTTTAAGAGATCTGGCTCCAGATGCTTTTGTTGTTGAGAAGGACAAGAATGGGCGTCGATACGCTATGTTTAGGTATCCTGGCAAAGGGAAAAATGGAGAAGATCCTCATAAAATGGGTAAAATGTATGATATGCCAGGGGACCCAAACTGTCCTGTTTTTTCCTTGGAGCTTTATTTGTCTAAGTTGCCTCCGGAGCCCCCTGCCTTTTACCTGCATCCTTTAAAGCTAACGTCAGAACAAATGCAAGAACAGCCTGTCTGGTACAAAAGAGAACCAATGGGTGTGAACTACCTGGGTACCATGATGCCCAGGATAAGCGTGGCAGCCAGGCTGTCTCAGCGATACACCAATCATTCTCTCCGAACTACCACCATCCAACTACTGTGTGAAGCAGGACTGGGGCCTAGAGAAATAATGGCAGTGACAGGCCATCGCTCTGAGTCTGCTATTAGACACTACTGGGGAGCTGCGGAAGTTCGCTACAGGGCCTGGTCAGATATAATGGAGAATAACACCCCCAATTACCTATATAGCAAGATTCCAAATGAAGTGATAAAAGAATCACTGTCTGGTGCCTCCACTTCTTCCGTAAACCATGTTGTTCTAGAACAAAGCAAAATTTTATTCCCTAAGAAATCTCTTGTGCCACCTGGCACTAATTCTGTGACTTTAGTCCCTGAGGGACACTTGGCTTTGAATTCCAAAAGCCCCATCCTGTTGAGCCACAGTTCTTCCAAGGTATTTCTCCCCAAGAACATGGCCAGTGGGAACCTAACTGCCAGTCCCCTTCAAGGCTGTTGTAATGAACCTGTCTTTATAAAGCGTGTGATAAAACAAGAACCAATGACTTGATGCTTCTGTAATAGAACTGATTTCAAATGAATTGCTGAAATGGTAAAATATCAGATTTGTTTTTTCACTTGGTCTACTAAGGAAATTTCTTATGGTCTAGTTCAGCAAGAAGTATCCTGTTCGCACTCCTGAAGTGAGCTATGGAACAGAAACTTTTAACAGAGCAGGGCTTGGAGTTTGTATGACTTTCTGTGGCAGCTGGGACTCTTTAAGTGGCTGAGCAGAGCTATTTTAAAAAATGAAAGGAAGATACTGATTTCCACTTAGCTGAAGAGCTACACTTTCTTCACTAAGTGCATGGATTTTATATTTTGTGAAGAGTGTATTTATTATACCATTTTGTGCCTGCTGGCACTAATGTAGCATCTTACAAATCAAATACTTGATTACTGAAGAGCACGAAGAAAGTAGAAGCTGAATGAAGTAGACACAGATACACTACAAATATATACATATGCATGAAAACACCTGGAATTGCTTGACCACTGTCACCTTCTCTGTTCATATTGTTATTGGACCTACAGAGGATTGTGCCTTTTTTTAAACCTTCTAAATTTATTTTCTTTGTGAGCTACAGATTTGTATTGCAGGTCTTTCCTTTTCCTGTTTAATATTTCTGGCTAAGTTTTCAGTCATTCTGCTCTCCAAAGGCACTATTTGAAACAAATTATATTAAAATTGAGATCTCTTTAATTGTGCATGAAATGAGTTGAGGATTGTTGCTTAGATGACAAGTGATTAGAGTTGAAGTGTTGTCTCTGTACGTGCTTACCTTGTGAGAGGCTTTTTTTGTATTTCCTCTCACCTACCCCTTCCATTACATTTCACATTGTGTTTGCAGTATAGAATCACAGAATCATGGAGGGGTTTGGGTTGGAAGGGACCTTACAAGATCATCTAGTTCCAACCCCTCTGCCATGGGCAGGGACGCCTTTCACTAGACCAGGATACTGAAAGCCCCATCCACCCTGGCTTTGAACACTTTTAGGGAAGGGGCATCCACAACCTCTCTGGGCAACCTGTTCCACTGTCTTACCACCCTCACAGTAAAGAACAACTTCAATAAGTCAGTATAATCTTTGTCAGCATAGTATAATTCACAAGAAGCGCATCCTGTTCTTCTCTAAACCCTATCCAAATAGTATTTTTGGTTTTAACTTCCTTAGATTAGTTCACTATAGTAAACTGATCCTATCATTACATTTTCCATAGGAGATTTTTACAGTTTGGAAGTTCTCGGGATAGTGGATATGAATTTTGTCAGAAAAAATAAATTGTAATTTAAAAGGCTCTTTAAGGAAAAAAGATTACAAATTAGGAGGGCTAGCCATAGTTCATTTTTAATAAAACACACTTGAGGATCTTAACTCACGGTCTGTCTCTGCTATTTTGTGCCAGAATTTTCATCAGAGATTCTGTCACATCGAGAGATCTTACTGTAAATAAAAATTGAAAACTGTTAATCAAATTATAGTAGGTCCACTTTGGAAGAAGAAGCAGTGTAGCATCTAAAACAGTTTTCCATTCTTATTTCGTTCAGTTAATATAATGAATTCATCCTTTTGAAGTGTGTGTGTGTGTGTGTACACATGCTCAGGCACACAGTTTTATCACACTAGGGACTTCTCTGGAACAGTTCATTGTCACTGCTCAGCAGTGGACAAAACACAGAAAAATCCCTGCTGAAATAACAAATTGACCATGATAAACTTAATACTGTGAGAACTTCCTTGCTAGGAAAGGCTTTCAAATATCAGATGAGATTTATCTTTGTTGTAGTCTGAACAGAGGACTTGATGCCTGAACTTTGGAGTTCTTATCTTGGCTGATAATGTTTATCTTTGTGGCCTTGGGTAGGTTATTCATGCTTACTGCAACAGTTTTCCAAAGTGTAAGACCAGCACAGCATTTTTCTGATGGATCATGTTAAAAGATTAAAAGGTTTTGAAAGTGCTATATTCATTTTACGTATTGTGTTTACAGTCACTTTAATTTGCTGTTGTTATAATGATTGAGCTAGTTGATCCAATATAATTGTTAATATAAAAATTACCTCTGCACAATCCTACACTTCCTTAGTTGCAGCATTAACTTAAGACATCAATGACTATA